TTATAGTTACAAGACAAAATAAAGTCATAAACCAAGTAATTTTTCAAGTACATAGTGGGAACATAAATCAGATAAACAGGTGTTAGTTGCTATCTGATGATGTCTGTAGCTTTGGGGTTGGTGAAATGGTCTGTTAACAATTGGTGTTACTTGACACTTGAAATGTTATTAGCCAGACACAGTGGTGGGCAAGTGCTTTGGTCAGGGTTCTCTAGAGCAGTGGTTCTCAACTTTCCTAACGCTGTGACCAACCCTTTAAGATAGTTCCTCACGTTGTGGTGACCCCCAACCATAAAATTATTCTCATTGCTACTACATAACTGTAATCTTGCTACTGTTATGAATTGTAATATAAATATCTGATATGCAGATATTTGACCCCTGTGTAAGGGTCATTTAACTGCTCAAAGGGGTCCTGACCCACAGGTTGAGAACCAGTCCTCTGGAGGACCAGACCTCATATAATGAATATATAAATATATATAAAGGGAATTTATTAGAATGGCTTATAGGCTATGATCCAGCTAATTCAACAATGGTTGTCTAGCAACAAAAGACCCAAGAATCCAGTATTTGTTCAGTCCACACAGCTGGATATCTCAGCTGGTCTTCAATATATGCTGTAATCCCGGAAAAAGTAGGCTCTAATGCCTGTGAAGGAATGGACCTACTAGCAAGGTGAGAGCAAGCAGGCAAAGAGAGAGTGCTTCCTTCTTTCATGCCCTTTATGTAGGCTGCCAGCCAAAGATGTGTCCCAGATTAAAGATGGATCTTCCCACCTCCAAATGATTTAATTAAGAAAAAAATCCCCTTACAAGTGTGCCCAGTCATTTGGTTTTTAGTTAATTGGGTTTTAGTTAATTCCAGATGTGGCCAAGTTGACAACCAAGAATAGCCATCACGGCAGTAGAATGGATACTAAGATATATAAAAATAATATGAGATGACTTATCTATGGATCTGGAACATTCCAACTTTCTGCAATCACAGAGTTCTATTAAGTCAGTCAGCCTTGTAGACTCTTTTACATACACATGGCGTTTTATTCTGGGAACTTTAGTTCCCAGGCAAATGTAGAAGTCTCTTCTCTTTGTTTTCAATACAAAAAAGCTACTAGGGAGAAGCTTTTGGCCCAGCTTATGTCTGGTGATCACCCACAAACTCATCAAGGTAATAAACACATAAGAGAAACAGCAATTTCTAAGGTTAGGCTGTGAGAGAATCGCTCTGGAACACAGAGCAGCCCGCTCTGTCAGAAGATAGAAGGGTTTGGAGCGGAAGCAGAGGTCACTGCACAGCCGTTCTGACCTTGAGAAAGGGGATTCTAAGAGAGCCAGCTGATGGTGGCTCAAGAGCTGCATTGTCTCTCAAGAGACACATTGTCTAGAAGGCGGAACTCCTCCCTGGGCTCAGTGTTTTCAGGGCTGCGGCCAAGGACAGACTGGAGGGGTCCAGGATGGAGAGATTCAGGATGTGCAACATTTTTGCTCGGGGAAATGGAAGGCAACAAAAAAACAACTTTCTTCCCGCCCCTGCTTCTCCCCCCTCCTGCCTGCCTCTCAGCCTTGCTCTAAGGAACAGGTCTTCCTGACCGCTGAAGAAAATGGGATGGTCCCGCTCATTTTCTAGCCCTTTTTCCAGACCTAAGTGTTTTGTTTCAGTGATGAAAATGTCCAGTTGAGCACAGTAATCAAACCTGAGTTTCCCATTTACCTGTCAAGCTTACCCACTGGGCATGCCCAGGAAGGAGACCGCACAGGGGCAGCACTCCGCTGTTTCCCTACCCAGGAGACCCCTGCAAACTACTATTTTTGAAATTTTTAATTTTTCCCCCAGTGCTGAGGATTGAACTCCAGGCTTTGCACAGACAAGTCAAACCTGCTACTGAGCTATCACAGGCAAACCTGCTCCTGAGCTATCACAGGCAAACCTGCTACTGAGCTATCACAGGGTCTCCTTTTTTATTGTTGTTGTCATTTTACTTTTTGAGACAGGGTCTCAGTAAGTAGACCAGGTAGGCCTCGAACTCTCTCTAGAGCGCAGGCAGGCCTCGACCTTGCAAGCCTCCTTTCTCAACCTCTTCAACAGCTGGGACTATAGGCCTGTCCTATCAAGGCCCTGAGGAGCCATAATAGTCCATGTCCTCCACTTGTCAAGATGGCTGATAGGCCGTCTGATCTCACTAGTGAGTGTGGTGGAAAAACATGAAGAGAAGTGTGGGGAAGGCTCAGAAGACCCTCCTTGCTTAGTATTGTCTTGCTGTGGCTTTAGAATAAGTACGGTGTGTGTGTGTGTGTGTGTGTGTGTGTGTGTGTGTGTGTGTGTGTGTACCAGAGTTAAACCTCAGGCATCATTCTCCAGGCAGCATCCACTTTGTTTTGGTGCACAGGGCCTCTCACTGGCCCAGAGCACACCAAGTAGTTTAGGCTCTGGTTGACCAGCAAGCCCCAGGGATTCATGTTCTTGCTTCCATCTCTGGATTACAAGTTTTTTATTTGTAACCTGGGTTCTGGGGTCCACCTCAAGTCCTGTGCTTGCAAGGCACGTACTTCATGACTGAACTTTGCATGGATCTTGTGTTTTGGAATTTGTATTCATTTTATTGTTGTTGTTATTATTATAGGCGTGCACTGCTTTACCAAGTTTGCCTTTAGAGCTTTGTTATTTGACATAGAATCTCACATTTGTAGTTTAGGTAGGCCTCAAACTCATCCCCCTTCATCAACCTCCCAAGTTCTGGGTCTACAGGCGTGACTCACTACGCCTGGCTTGGCCTTAGGGTTTTCACTGCCTGCTAAGTTTTCCAAGCTTTTTCCTGTTTCATTTTTCCTGTCTCTCGTAAACTATGGTGAGGCCAGACAGTGAAGAGAGAGCTGGGAAAGAACTGAGTTTTATTCTATTTGTTCTCATCCCTAGAGAGAGCGCAGGTCCTGTAGGCCACTCAAAGAAAACAGCTGGGATTGCCCCAAGGCAGGTGAGAGGGAGCCATAGCAGACATATTCCTGAAGGTCGAGGCAAGGCAGGTTCACAGTTCCCCGATGTGGATAATTTCAGGGGGTCCTGGAGTGCAGGGGCATCTCTGGTTGTCTCATATCTAGGTGTATAGTGGCCTGGAGTGTGAGGGTTCTGTAAGGGAAGTGGTTTGGGGCTGTGAGGTTCACAGCTGCCCAGCAGGGAAATGACCAGCCTCAAAAGAGGCTTCAACACATTAAAACCCCTGATATTGTAAATGTTTTATGGGTTCTTTAAGACTCATCACAAAAGACAGCTCTCTTACAGCACCTTCATTGTCAGAAAGTGTTTTCTGTCTGTATGTGCATACACATGGAAGAGGAGGTGGGGGGCTCATCATGTAACCCAGGCTGGTCTTGAACTCCTTAAGTAGCCAAGCCTGTCTCTGAACTCATCTTTCTGTCTCCACTTGCTGAGTTCTAAGGTTACAGTGTGAACCACCTTGCCTGGGTTTTGGAGGGAGGGAGTTGAGACTGGTCTTAGGATATCAGCCCAGGCTCCTGTTTCCACCTCCCAAGTACTGGAATTAGGTACATGCCACCATGCGCATTCCACCACATTTGAAAGCACTAGATTTCCGGGTGTCTTTCAGCTCAAGTCCAAAGTCACCCGGCCTCTGCAGGAAGCCATCTTGGGCAGAGTTCCTTTAGCGAAAGCTGCAAGCTAGGTCGCTACAGAATTTCTCGGAATGGGCACTGAATTTTACCCAACGGAGTACCAGCAAAGAGCAGATGACTGGGACCTAAGCTATTGGAGGAAGGGGCAGCGGAGCCAAAGGATAAAGGACAAAGGCTTTCCTGTGATATTCAATGAAGTTGGTGCAAGTGCTCCTCAGGGTAAGCAAAGCAAGTCACTCAGCTGGGCTGCCACATTTAAAGGGACACCATAAAATTCAGTTACCAAGACAAATTCTATATGATGCAATCATTTTTAAATGCATTAAAGTGCTTATACTGAACAGAGTTTCCATTTTGCCTACGACGCCACATGGCTCTGCAAATGTTGCTGGGCTGAGACGTATGCAACGGTCAGCTCTCATAGCCCATCAGCTGAGGCTTGAAGATATATCAAACCAAGACAGAAGTATATGTACGTACACAGAAAAGTCCAAGGTGCGGGTGTGTGAGACAGCTCCCCCGGTTAAGGTGCTTGCTGACACGCCTGATGACCCAAGTTTGATTCCTGGGACCCACACAGAACTGACACCTGCATATTGTCCTTTGACCCCCACGTGCATGTGCATACACACACACACACACACACACACACACACACACACACACACACACACAAAGTAAATAAGAGACACCAAGGTATCTGCAGTAAAAAGAACTAAAGGGACAAGTGGTGGGTGAATGGTGATAGGGTTGCAGGCAGGGTTCAGATCGTGTAGGGACACAAGAACTGTCAGTAGGCAGACGCTTGCTGAGATGCTGTAATGATGACTTACGGGGTGTCAATTGAAGATGTCAGGTTTCTCCTGAGGCTAGGGCATGATCTAAGTGAAGAATGACAGAATCTCATCTAGACAGGTGTAGGCAAGATTTCAAAGTGCAGAACCGGACCTCAGTTTCCCTACCGTAATACTGAGGGTGGGGCAGCCCTCTCCGGGGGTTC